ATGTATAATATACCAACAGGATTTTTTTCGTGAGAACAGATTAATCGTTTTCCCCATATTTCTTATGGGAAAACTCATTTGGTATATGTCCTGTTTGGTATAAGTCCAAGGTCCTGGAAAGGATTAAGGACGTATACCGAGGTACAACTATCTGCATATAAAAGGAGTACCAATATTTTATATATAAAGAAAAAAAATTGTGTATATGTATGTACTGTATAAGACTACATAACTTCACTGCTGGGAGTTTGGAGCAATACTAATGTTTGCATCTTGCTAGTCTGGTACATAGCAGCAGTCCAATATCGATGTGTAATGCAGTTATAAACCGTATTACACGAAAACACGTACCGTTTAAAACCACACCATGCAAGGTATTACAATAACAACAAAAAATGCTGGTCAAACAATTACAATGATTGGGAAGTTAGGGAAAAGTTGGGAGGTTAGGCAACACTTAGGAAATCAGGCAATGGTTGGGAAATTAGGCAAGGGTTGGGAATTTAGGCAAGAATTAGGAAGTTAAGCAAGGCTAGGGAAATTAGGCACGGGCTGGGAATTTTGGCAAGGATTAGAAAGTTAGGCAAAGCTTGGGAAATAAGAAAAGCAATGGAAAATAAGGCAAGGACTGGAAAGCTAGGCAAGCATTGGGAAGCCAGGCAAGAATTAGGAACCCAGACAAGAATTGAGAAGCTAGGAAAGAACCAGGAAGCTAGGCAATAATCGAGAAACTAGGATGAGATTGGAAAGTTAGGCAAGGATCAAGATGCTTGGCATGGATGAGGGGAAGAGGCTAGGCAAGGACTGAAAAATTAGGCAATAATGAGGAAGTTAAGGATGTGACTGAAATGTGCAAACTGATAATATACTGAAAACATCTGACAAAGACAGGACTCACAGCAGTGGATTTACCCTGGACAAATAATGATTTAATAAATGATATAGGTAAGTATATGCACTTATCAAGGATCCTACCTAGAGGGAAGTCTATTAGGAAAAGACCCCAATGGAAACACTATTTTGCCTTGTGGAATTATTCTGGGTTAACTCTATGGCTGTTATCTTTATTCCATATTTTACAAAATATTAGGGGCCCAGTTTTGAGCTTAGTGACAACCTTGTATGTGAATTCTTAAATATTAATTCTTTCAGGGTCTGTGCCATACTTCTATGGCTTTGAGTTCTGGGTCCAAACTGTAGTTCTACGCCATGAGCTCAGCTCATTCAAATAAGCTGTGAGTGGTAAATTTGGGCCTAGATATGAGAGAATACATCTATGTGGTATGTGTGCACCACATAAAACAAATCCTGCAACACACAGTGCATAATGAGAAAAAAAACAGACCGTAATTTTGGATTAAAAACAGCAACTTTGCGGTGTTTTTTCATGTTTTTTATACTTGTATTTGCGATTTCTTGGTCTCATTTGATAGAATGGATGTTATATTACAGAAATAGAGATGATTTTGATTGGTTTTATTACTGAAAATGCTTGAAACTAAGCTCAAAGTAGTGGAAATGTTAAATTTTTGCCGATGTTCAAGAGTAAACAAATCACATCACTCATCCAATACGTGTAAGCTGATGGGGTCTTATGTGCATTCACAAATGCGCTGATATTATTTATACAATTATTACAATATTGCATAACAGTAAATCTTCCATTTTTTTTATTTGAATAAAAATTCATTATGTTAATAAAAAATCAAAATGGAATTCATTTATAAACCCTGAAAATGTAACTAATGAACAGAGGAAATGTTAGTTTAGTGCCAGGAATGCCTGCATTGTTTATTCTGGACCCTATTTTGAAATAGGAATATTTTGAACTTTGTGATAAATTGGCCAAATTACCAATTTCCAATCACTTTATTTTGTAGTTGAAACAGTTGACTTGGTGATTTCTTGTGCTCAATCGATAAAATAGAAGTAATACTAGCAAAATGGCTAAGAATGTGGTCGACTGGAATAATGTAATTGGCCTAAAATGGGAGTCAAAGTCAGCAAGATCGCCGATGCATAAATATCACTGACACATCAAAATTCGCAAGAGCATAATTTCGTCAATTTTCAATCAACTTTTGTACTTTTTGTTTTATTACCTTCAGAAAAAGATTCTCTACCATTTCAAAAGAAAAAATAATTTTTTTTTAAATTCTTGGACCCTGTGGACACATCTCAGATTTTGGGTCTGGACCCTGAAAGGGTTAAGTGAATTATACAGTGGAGACAGCTACATTTTGTGCACAAGATTTTGTTCAGATTTTTTTATCCCGGAGGATTTGCCACCTAGAGTAACCCAATAAAATCAGCGTGTCATCAACAACTGTGTCTTACTTCCACTGGAGTCCTTTAACCCAACCTGAGCCATCTTAACTTAGATTTAGAGGTTTACTAAATTCTATATTTGGCTAAGGTTACTTCTAATTGACCCCCCAAAAAATTCTCTTCAAAGGCCTCAAGTATAACTATCTCCATTGCATATTATTATTATTATTATTATTATTATTATTATTATTATTATTATTATTATTATTATTATTATGCTTATAGGAGAGCACTAAACCCATAGAGGCCATACAGCACCTGAAGGAATGAAAGGCATTCAGGCTTGATTCAAGGAATTGCAGCATTGGCACACTTCCTTAGATCAAGAGCCCTTGCTAGCATCAAGGAACCTCCCTTGAAGGGTCTCCATAACAAAAATATTATTGTAAGTACAGTGCTACCTCGAGTTACAAACTTAATTTGTTCCAGAAGGCTGTTAGAGTGCCTATACCAAATGAATTTGTTCCCATAAGAAATAATGTAAATTAGATTAGTCTGTTTCAGACCCCCAAAAAATACACTTACAAAAGCACTTACAAAAATACACTTACATAATTGTTCGAGTTGGGAGCTGTTCAAAACTCGAGGTGCCACTGTACATGGTACTATTACAGACCTAGCTAACAGGATTGGGCATACCATGTAGAAAGTCCCTGGTTATAAAAACAAGAAAAAGTACTGCAGCAGGCTTACTGGCTCATGCTAGGCAGGTCCAAGTCACCTACTGGACTAAGCTCTTCAGGTTCAAATCATATCCACTCAAGAAGGAAGGAGAACTGCATTAAACCTATTAGCGCAAACCAGTCAGGTCCAACTTACACCCAACCACACCCACTCATGTATTTGTCTAATCTATTTTTAAAACTACACAATATTTTAGCTTCAATGATGCTACTCGGGGCTTGATCCACTCATCCACAACTCTATTACCAAACCAGTGCTTTCCTATATCATTCCTGAATCTAAATTTTTCCAACTTGAAACCATTGCTGCGAGTCCTGTCTTGGCTAGATATTTTTAGCATGTCATTTACATCCCCTTTATTTATTTCAGTTTTCAAGTGCAGGCAATTTAGATTAATTTTGTCCCCCAGGTTGCGACCCACAACAGTGACTAACGCCCAGGTAAATACTTAGTACTAGGTGAACAGGGACAGCAGGTGTAAGGAAACATGGTCAATGTTTCCACCCATGCTGGAGAGCAAACCTTGGTGTGGGTGACCGAGTTCTAGGGCTTCAGTTGTTTTATTAAATAAAATCCATCCTACTTAATGCTGGAGAACTTACATAAAAAAGCTCTAGTACCTGAACTCAATTAAGCAAAACTTCAGTCAGTTTTTTGCCAGCTTGTGGCTTGGTAAATGTGCTCATGGCTTAAGAATTGTTCAAAATTTTAACCCAGAGGGTTAGCCACCCAGGATAACCCAAGAAAGTCAGTGTGTCATCAAGGACTGTGTCTTATTTCCATTGTGGTCCTTCAATCTTGCCCCCAGGATGCAATCCACACCAGTCACCTAACACCCAGATACCCATTTACTGCTAGGTGAACAGGGGCAGCAAGTGTTTACCTTGAGTTTACCTGGAGAGAGTTCCGGGGGTCAACGCCCCCGCGGCCCGGTCTGTGACAAGGCCTCCTGGTGGATATATGTAAGGAAATATGCCCAATGCTTCCACCCATGTCAGTAGGTTTATTCAGGTATACACAGTTACATGGCATATCATACATAGCAGCACATGTGTAGAGAACCTGGAGTTTACCTGGAGAGAGTTCCGGGGGTCAACGCCCCCGCGGCCCGGTACCTGGGATAACCGAAAAAAGTCAGTGACTTATTTTCATTGGGGTCCACTGCGGATGGAACCATGGGCATTCAGTGTGCAAGGCAAAAACGTTACCAACTGAGCCATGGGTAGTGTTTAATAGTACCCTCGGCTCTCACACTATGGGCCCAGGGACTGATCCTGGCACGGCTGAAACATTAGGTATGTTTCCTTACACCTGCTGTCCCTGCTCACCTAGCAGTAAGTAGGTACTTGGAGGTTAGTCGACTGGGGTGGGTCGCATCCTGGGCAACAAAATTAACCTAAGCTGCCAGTGTGCCAATGATGTCAGCCAGTGTGCCAATGATGTCAGCCAGTGTGCCAATGATGTCAGCCAGTGTGCCAATGATGTCAGCTAGACCCATATTTCTGTTAACTATTTGTAGAAATAATTATTATTATTCATGGGAAAATGTTAACTAGCTTGTTGTACAGCACCTGGGAGATAATCAGGGTAACTCGCGGTAGGGAAGAGCAGCTAAAATTCCTTGGATCAAAAACACTATACCAGAAAAGATTAATTGTTTAGTTTATTTCACAGGACTTTCACAAAAATATACCTATGGTGCTACTCTACATATTTCAGTAAAAATCTCCGCACATTTAAGCTATTACAGCACTCCGGAGACACGAACATTATACATATATAAATCAGAAACATTATACATATATAAATCAGAAACATTACCCATATATATAGTCAAAAAACAAGACACAAGTGAAAGTTATTATTGTGAGTCAGCATGTGTGAGGTCCGGCTGCCTCCCCATATAACACTTTTATCACAACTATTACTACTATTTACTACTCATGAACCACTCAGACTAACAACAATATACTTAAAGTATGTCTCACCAAGAGGAGGGTCACTTTTCGAGGCTAAAACCTTCATTTTCAAAGAGAAAAGTGTAGTAGTGAGCGTATTGTGAGGTGGAGCAGTGTGCCAGACACTACGACACTAACACTTTAATATATCTCTCTCTGGCTGATGCAATATTACCATATATATTATCATACACTTACTTAACCTCTTGTAATACTCCAGCTGTATTATTATCGATATTCCCAACTAAATTAGATATTAAATCGCTCATATTGCTATTGCATTATGTTTGGGGGGATGCGCTAAACCTTTATGGATTATGCAGCGAGTGGGAAGTGGTAGGTAGTCTGGTTCAATCCAAGGAAGGGGAGGACAAGTTCAATTTCATGGATCAAGAGCCCCCGTCCTAGCAGCCAGGAAGGTTCCCTTGAAGGGACAGTGTTGCTAGCTTATTAACTGTTACTTACATGATTCATTACCTCTGTAACTTGTGACTATATTACCTTTGTAACTATTTCAGCTATCATAACTTTGGAGTCCAGTCCCTGGACCAATTATGTACCTCTGTAATCTTTTGACTACCGTCCACAGGATGGATATGGGGTGCATAATAAACATATTAAACTAAGTCCTTAATTCATGGTATAACTTAACAAATCTTTGAGGACAATTGTGTTGTAGAGGTCTGACCTCTGGTTACGTTGAATACCATGAACATGCAGCTCCTCCTGCATGACACAAAGATGCTAGATGCTAAGTCACCTGTCTGACTTTTTTTGGGGTTATTCTAGGTTCCTGCACATATGCTGCTATGTATGATTCAATTCAATTCAGTTCAAGTTTATTCTCTATAAGGGTTACAATGTGGGGTTTACATGTTTTGGGTATTGTGTGGTTTATATATTATAAAATACTAATTACAGAGGGGGTCACTAGGACACCTAGCATGGCTAGGCATTTCGGGCAGACTTAGATTAATTCTTTTCAAATTCAAATTCAAATTCAAAGTTTATTCTCTATAAGGATTACAATGCTGAGTTTACAGAAATTTGGTTATTGTGTGGTTTACATGTAGTAAAATTGTGATTACAGAGTGTACCACTAGAACGCTTAGCATGGCTAGGCATTTCGGGCATACTTAGTTTTATTCTTAATTGTAAAATATTACAAATTATGAGGTAAGTTGGTATTATGGCTAAGTGACTAAATATAGTTTGTGTGTTAGCAATGTGAATGGTTTTGTTTTTGGCACAGTACATAGTTTCAGTATTGGAGTATCACAGATCATTATTTTAAGACTGAGATTAATTATTTCTGTTTATGGTTTCAAATGAGTGAGTGAGTGTAAGTGTGAAACCAGGTGGTATTAGTTGTGTTAGTTGACGGGGTGTATCAGGGAGATAAGTTGTTTTTCATAATGGTAGTTTTGAAGGTGATGAAATGTGTCTGCAGTTCTAGAGGTTCTCAGGTAGGGGTATTCCAGATTTTAGGGCCTTTGACATACATTGAATTTTTGTAAAGGTTTAGTCGCGAACGGGGAATGTCCGTAGAGATGTTTGGTGTCTGGTTGTTATGCCTGTGGGTTCTGTCACAAAAATCAGAAAGGCGTTTTAGGTCAAGGTTGATATTAGAGTTTAAGGTCCTGTAGATGAGATTGCACAGTAGTAAGTGTGGATGTACTGAATGGGGAGTAATTAGGTCTATGAAGGAGTGGGGGGGGTGTGGGTGTGTTGCCAGGGATGGGATATTTAGACGATATATCTTACTGCCAGCTTTTTGTTGGGGTTTATTATTGGCTTTAGGTGTGTTTTTGGCTGCAGTTGATCCCCAAGCACACCATTTTAGCATAGGTGAGGTATTGGATAAATTTAAGTGAGTGGTATAGTGGTTGAGAAGTGCATTTTGCGGGCACGTATATCGTATCGTGGAGGAGGATCCCAACCGTTTTTGGATATATTTTGGTTATATGCTGGATATGGGTGCTGAAATCAGGTTGTTGTCAAAGGTATAAGCCTAGGAATTTTCCCCATTATTTTCTGGTAATTAGAGTGGTGTCAATCTTAATGTTAATTTGTGCATCTCCTGCTCTGCTACCAAACATAATATAGTAGGTTTTGTCAGTGTTAAGCCGTAAGTTTATTGGCTGTCATCCAAGTCGATATTTTAATCGCTCCTCATTCACAATGGTGATGAGGGTGGCAAGATTAGGGTGAGAGATGAATTAAGTCGTTTTGGCATCAGCAGAGAGAATGGGTTTACAGGTGTTGGATTACGTTTGGAAGGTTCAATTGATGTATATTGAGGAATGTGCGTAGGGGACCAAGGGCACTTCCCTGCGGAACTCCAGTATCAAGTGGCCCGTGCCGTCTCACCCCGCCTCACCCACCCAATCCCAGCGCCACCCGTTATAGAGGGTACTTCTCCCCCTAACCCACGATGTCAGCGATGGCACTGCAGGGAGTGCCGGGTCACAGGAACTTCTACTACAGGGACAGCATGTGGAGTTCGATGCGAGGCAGCTGTCAGGTGTGCCACTGGCAGTGTGTACTCAGTTCCTCAACCTATCACATCCGTGCACACGAGGGCCTGGGATCTTCAGTCAACTTGCGTCCACCAGGACGTTGCCATGTCCTAGGACAGCTCTCCGGGCTGCTTAACAGAGCCACTGGTTCTTGTGACCTCTTGGGGAGGGTCGATGGTGTCGTTGCAAGCAGCAGATCCCGGGGCAACTTGCTGCTGTTTGCAATGGCCTGTCTTGCCGAGGAGAGAACAGGCACCTAGCATCATTGTTGTTGGGGCAATGGAGGGATTCCCTGCTATGTTTGTTAACTGCTCATTACTCTGTAATTTGTCTAGGAGGAGCTCCTTACCTTCCATATAGGATCCGTCTATTGTTCATCTACGGAGACTCTTCCAGGAGAACGGGTCCAGAGATGACATAACAAGAGGGCACGGAGGCTCCCGTAGAGGAACGAGTGAATAGTTGAGGAGTCTTTCATGATGGGGTTGCATTAGTAGCTGTGCACAGCGTTGATGCACCTAATAGATGTGGAAGAGCATCAGGGTAGGTAGGGACAGTTTGCAGTGTTGAACAGGTAGATTGCGCGCTTTAATGTCATGTAACTGCCTTCCATATAGTACATTGAACCGCTCCACTTGACCATTGCCTTGAGGGTTGTAGCTTGGTGTTCTTGCTGCATGGCAATACCTTTGCTAGCCAAAAAAACTCCTGAAGTTCGTTGTACTCATGAACGAGGATCCCCTGTCTGAATGGATATAAGCTTGCCATACCAAAATAGGAGAAACACTGTGAAAGACAACTAATAAAACAGTTGAAGCAGCCATATTTGCACAGGGGAATACAAAGGGAAAACCTTGAATATTCATCTACTATGTTTAGGAAAATACCTATTTGTTTTGTGCTTGGTAGAGGTCTTTGAAAATCTATATTCAATCTTTCGAAAGGCTGGGTGGATTTTATGAGATGAGTCTTCTCTGGCTGATGAAAGTTTGCTTGCACTTGCAATACTCTGCATGCTCTGATCACTTGTCGCACATATTCCACTGAGTAGGGCTTGTTCTTTGAATTTGCAAAAATGGTACAGGCGTTGTAAAACTCTGGGTGGACACAAAGCCTTGTGGAGAGCTGAGAGTGAATGCAAATCATGACATGTGCTCCACAGGGTGACCTGAGAAATGCATCAGGTGAGATGTTCTCTTGACCCGGTCGGTACAGAATATCAAAGTCATAAAACACGATGTTCCATCCTCCAGGCGTAATATCTTGTCATTCTTTATCCTACTTTCTGTTCCTCCCACACGCTGTCGAACATATACATCACGGACGTTGGTCTGTCCTTATGGTGAAATGCTCTACCAGTTAAAATAATGCCTCCAGTGGCGAACTGCTTTATGAGGCCTGGGCTTCCTTTTCTACAGCAGATAAACATTTCTCTGATACTTTGAAAAGTTCTCGAAAAGAAGGCTACTGGTCGGTCCTGCTTGAGTAAGACTGCAGCAATGGCAATGTCAGATGCATCCGTTTCCACTTCGAATGGTAGGGACTCATCAATGGCTTGAACTACTGAGTTTTCAATGATCTGTTTGAGAGTATGGAAAGCGGCTTCTGCTTCCTTTGTCACAGGAAATGTGGTAGCACTCAATGGGGGACTTTACTTGAATAGTTGTAGATCCATTGTGAGAAATTAAGCAAAGAGACCAAGAGTTCTTCGGAGTGACTTTTTGTCTTGAGGCATTGGAAGTTCCCGTAGAGGTCGTAGTCGTTCAGGGTCTGGGAATATTGAACCTCCTTCCACTACATAACCAAGGATGCTAAGCCTTTTAGTTGAAAAAGTGCACTTTTCCTCATTGTAACTGATATTTTTCTTCTTGGCGGCTTCCAAAAACTTATCAAGGTTTGCATCATGTTCCTCCTGGGTCTTGCCACAAATGGTAACATTATCTAAATACGCGTAAGTTCCCAGAGTTGCTCTTCCTGAATGAGTGAATCCAAAATTCGTTGGAAGCAGGCTACCCCATTGGTGACTCCAAAAGGGACTCTGGTAAACTGATACAGGCCATCACTAGCCTGAAACGCTGTGTATGGTTTATCTTCATTCCTTATAGGGACTTGATGATAGGCACTCTGCAGATCATTGTCCCTAAACACGTAGTACTGAGCAATTTTGTTCACTGTAATCGTCAATTCGAGGTAGAGGGTACCCCTCAAGAAGTGTAAAATTTGTTGATTGTCTCAGAGTAATCGATAGCCAGTCTCGTTTCCTATAATCCATCTTTAACAACAACAACCTGTGGGACGCCAAGGGGAATTCACTCGGTTCTATAATACCCTCCTTCAGCAGCCTCTGAGTTTCTTTCTCAATGAACATCCGATCCTCATAAGAATAGCGGCGTGACTTAGCTGATATAGGATGGCAATCCGCGGTAAGATTTGCAAACAGCTTTGGTGGGTCTACCTTAAAGTGCTAAGTCCACAGACAACAAGAGGAGGCAGTTCACCTCCATATGTTAAGGTGACACTACATGCAGCTTCTGAAAGTCCTGACCAAGGATAACATCAGAGCACAGTTGTGGCAGAATAGCTAAATGTACATCTTGATAATCCTTTCCATTAACTCTGAGATTTACCTTACAAACCCTAAGGTCTGAATAGAGAGAGATGTTGA